GGTGCTGTAGGATGCTGTAGGATGCCATGGGGTGCTATAGGGTGCTGTAGGATGCCATGGGGTGCTATAGGGTGCTGTAGGATGCCATGGGGTGCTATAGGGTGCTGTAGGATGCCATGGGGTACCGTGGGATGCTGTAGGGTACTGTAGGATGCCATGGGGTACCGTGGGATGCTGTAGGGTGCTGTAGGATGCCATGGGGTACCGTGGGATGCTGTAGGATGCCATGGGGTGCTGTAGGATGCCATGGGGTGCTGTAGGATGCCATGGGGTGCTATAGGGTGCTGTGGGGTGCCGTGGGGTACCGTGGGATGCTGTAGGATGCCACAGGGTGCTATAGGGTGCTGTAGGATGCCATGGGGTGCTATGGGGTGCTGTAGGGTGCTGTAGGATGCCATGGGGTGCTATAGGGTGCTGTGGGGTGCCGTGGGGTACCGTGGGCGCCACAGGGTGCCAGCCGTGCCCCTCTGCCCCCCCTCCTTCCCCGCAGAACGGCCCCTTGCCTCTGAAATACCGCGTCCAGCCCGCCTGCAAGCGGCTCAAGCTGTCCCACCCTGCCCCCTCCGAGGGCACCAACACCAGCGGCGCCTCCGAGTGCGAGTCGGGCAGCGACAAAGCTCACAGCCCCGCCACGCTCCCCGCCACCTCCTCCTCCCTGCCCAGCCCTGGCACCCCGTCCCACGGCTCGCCCAGCTCCGGCACCGGCACCACCCTCAACGGCACCTCGAACTGCCACCCCCTGGCACCCACCGGCGCCCGGTGCCGCAAAACGACTGTGAACGGCAGCGCGGGCTCGGCCTTGACCTAAAACCCCGCCCGGCAGGGACTGCCCCGCCCGCCCCGGCTTTTCTTATGTAGATTGTTCTATACAGACCTTATATAAATATATACGTTGTACATAGGGAGAAAAAAAAAAAAAGAAAAAAAGAGAAATAATTATACATACTTATTTTCTATCGACCGAGCAGATTAATTTAAAAAAAAAAAAACAAAAAAACAAACAACAAAAAACGCAGAACAAGACACAGGAACGTGGGTGGGTATTTTTTAAATGTTCTCTTTTTTTTTTCTGTTCGTCGGTTCGTTCGTTTGAGGTTGGTTGGTTGGTTTGTCGGTTGGTTTTTTTGTTGTTTTTTGGTTTTTTTTGTCGTTTCTCTGGTTCGGTTTGTGGACTTTGGTTTCCCCTCCTGGGAGCTGCGTGCCGGAGCTGGGAGCCACAGCAGGTGCTGCCACAGTTCCCTGGTTTCCCTCTAACGCTTTTCCCTCTCCTCCTCATCCCTCTCTCCTCCCTCGTGTCCCGCCCGGAGCGAGACGGGGGACTCAGTGGGGACTCCTGGCTGCACAGGTAAGGGCCAAGCACAGGTAAGGGGCCAAGCACAGAAGCCAAAAACTGCCCCTTCAGCCTCGCTGTGCTGTGGGGTTTTTTGTTTTTTTTGGGGTTTTTTTTGCATTTTTGTGTTTATTTGGGGGTTTTTAGGCGTACCTGGTGCCCGCAGCTGCCCCCTGGTCCAGGTGTCCCACCACCCCCAGCTTTGCCACGCGTGAGTTTGGGTCTTTCTTTGCTTTCCCTGTGTTCTCTGGACGCTGTTTCAGGCTCTGGGCAGGCAAAGCCTCTCACAGACACTTCCCCTCCTCGCACAGTAAGTTCTCTCTTTCGGGTTTTATTTCCCAGCTTAAAAATTATCTCTGCTTGCAGCTTGCTGGCACTGGGGGTTGGAGGACAACCTTTTGGGGTATTTTCTCCTCCCTGGGGGTGCCGACAGCTCTGGGAAATTTGGGGGCATCCAAATGGTTGGGGGTTTCAAATCCAGGAGGGTGTGGGGACCCCCCCCCCAGGGCACCCATTTCCAAGCGTTTATTTTTTGGTCTCCCCCCCTCCCCACCGTCCTTCCCACCCTCTCCTCCTGCCCTCACATTGGGTTTTTAATAAAATAAAATACAAAAAAGCAGACTACAGTGCCTTTAGCCAGGAGGCTCCGGTGAGGGGCGAGTGTGGGAAGGTCCTGCCGTGCTTAGGGCGGGAGTGGAGCGGCCCCAGGGGAAGGGACCAACTTCCCACAGGGACAGAAAAAAAGCACACGAGCCCCGGGGAATGCAGACCCCAAGGGTTCCTCTCCTGTCCTTGCTGGGGAGGGGGATGAAGGACACAAAACAATTAGCAAGTGCCTGCAGCGCCCCACGGCACGGTGAGAACCAAAGGAAGGTGGAATTGTAGGGACAGCCCCGGCTCGGAGGGTCGGGAAAACACGGGATGTTGTTACTGTAGCTTCTGATTTGGAACTATTGTTTTTGGGAAGTGCTGCACCCCCAGCACGGACTCGGCTATAGCACAGCCCCAGGCGCTGGGGAGGCCCCGGGAAGGGTCCCCACGGGGCCACTTTTGTCTCTTGTCCCCTTCCCTGGGCTGGGGCTGGGCCGGGGGGCTCCAGGTTTTTGGGGGGGGGCTCTGTTTGTCTCGACTTTGACACCCCTTTTCTCCTTGTAAATAGGCCAGGCTGGACTGTGGGAGGCGGCTGCCTCGGGCTGGGGTTCCTGTGGGGCTCGGGAGGGGGTGGTCTGGTTTTGGTTTTCCCTCTGTGGTACAAACCCGATGGCTCTGTGTGTTTGCATCCTGTACGGCGTTTTAATGTCCTGTAAGATAGCCCGGTGTCCAGGTATTGTTCTTGGTTACACATTTGTATGGATACAGCTTTGTAAATGTAATAAATGCTGCAGACTGTCCTTCCCGCCTGCACAGGGGCAGCTCCTGGTGCCTCCGTCCCAAATCCCACTGGTCCTTCCATCCTAAATCCCACAGGTCTCTCTGTCCCAAATCCCACAGGTCCCTCTGCCCTGCATCCTGCAGGTCCCTCTGTCCCAAATCACACAGGTTTCTTTGTCCTGCATCCCACAAGCCACTCCATCCCAAATTCCACAGGTCCCTCCATCCCCAATCCAAAAAGTCCCTCTGTCCTGCATCCCATGCGTCCCTCCATCCCAAATCCTGTGGGTCCTTCCATCCCAAACCCCACGGGTCTGACCATCCCAAATCACACAGGTCCCTCCATAAGAAATCCCATGGGTCCCTCCATCCCAAACCCCACGGGTCTGACCATCCCAAATCACACAGGTACCTCCATAAGAAATCCCATGGGTCCCTCCGCCCCAGATCCCACAGGTCCCTCCGCCCCAGATCCCACAGGTCCCTCCATCCCAGAACACACAGGCCTCTCCATCCCAAATCCCACAGGCCCCCCCATCCCGCATCCTGACGGGCACCCACAGCTCTGGCAGCGCAAAACCGCTCCTGAAAAACCCCACTGTCCACAGGATTCCTTCTTTCCCAGCTGCTGCTGGTTCGCTGCAGCTCCTCAGTAATTCAGATTTAATCGGGGTGGGGGCTCAGCATCTCCCCCCTCCCTCCGTGCCCTTGAGTGGGATGCACATCCCGGTGGTCCCCAGCTCCCGTGGGCTCCACGTCAGGGCTGGGGGGTCGGGGGGGCCCCCTGCACCTCGTCCCCGTTGTGGGTGCCGTCGCAGTAGGGGGGGTTTTGGGTGCGTTTGCAGCCGCAGAGCCAGGCGGGCCCGTCCTCCTGGGGGCTGAAGCGCAGCGGGGACATCCCCGGGGCCGCCTTCCTGTGGGAGCCGTCACAGAAGGGCTGCGGACAGACGGGCAGGGGGTAAAGGGGGGGGTCTGGGGGTGCCCGGCTGCTTCCCCGCGGGGTGTGTGAGACACAGGGGGGCCGAGACCCCCCCCATCCCACCCACGGGCAGCGCATCCCTCGGGAACTGGGGGGGCGGCGGGAGAAGCCGGGGAGGGAACAGCGCCTCGTGCCCCCTAAAAACCTCCAGTCCGGGACCGGGGGGGGGGGAAGGGGGGTCCCTGTGAGGTTAGTCCTGCCCTGGTCCCATCGGCATCCCCGCACATCCCAAGTGGAAGGAGCAGAGCCCCTGGACCCCCCCGGCGTCCCTGGACCACCCCCAGCTCGCGGAGCCGCCCCGGAGCCCCCCATAGCCCGGAGCCCCCCGGACCTCCCCGACTCCTTCGGCCCCTCCAGACCCCCCGTCATCCCTGAGCCCCCCGGACCCTCCGGAGCCCTCCATGACCCGCACCCTCCGGATTTCCCCGATCCCCCCCGATCCCCCCCGGTCCCCCCGGCCCGACCTGGCTCTTGCTGTGCCCGCACGAGCACCACGCGTACTTCTTGCCCGCCTTCAGCTCCACCGGGAAGGGCTCCTTGGCGGCGATCGCGGGCTGCGGGGGGGTCGCGGAGCGGGAGGAGAAGGGGGCCCGGCCCCGGAGCGCTCTCAGCAGAGCCCCGAGCGTGGCCGAGCCGAGCCGGAGCATGGTGCCGGTCACCTTGCCGGGCTCACCGCACCCCGGACCCGGTCGCCTTTCCGGGCTCACCCCACTCCGGTCCCGGTCACCTCCCCCGGCGGCTCCTCCTCCCGCGTCGCCGGAAGGTTCGGGCCGGGCGGGCTCGGCGGGAGCGCCGGGCTCGGTGCGGGAACGTTCCACCGGGCGCGGATCCGCGGCTGCTGCCGGTGATGGTGCCGGTGATGGTGCCGGTACTGGTCCCGGTGATGCTCCTGGTGATGGTCCCGGTGATGGTCCCGGTGATACTCCTGGTGCTGCTGCCGGTGATGGTCCCGGTGCTGGTCCCAGTGATGCTCCCGGTGATGCTGCCGGTGATGGTCCCGGTGCTGCTGCTGCTGCTGGTCCCAGTGATGGTGCCGGTGCTGGTCCCGGTGATGCTCCCGATGCCCAATCCCGCTGTCCCTCCCGGTGCGCGGTCCCGGTACCCGATCCCGGCTCCTGTCCCGGTGCCCCGATCCCGGTGCCAGTGTCTGATCCCACTCCCTGATCCAGGTGCCCCGATCCTGGTTCCGCTGCTGATCCCGGTTCCCGATCCCGGTCCCAGTCACGATGCCCGATCCCACTGCGCGGTCCCGGTGCCCGATCCCGGTGCTCGATCCTTTTACGCGGTGTCGGTGCCCAAACCCAGTCCCCGATCCCGATCCCCGGTCCCGATCCCGGTCCCTTTCCCGGGCAAGAAGGATCAGGATCCCCGGCTCCCGAGCCCTCCCCGTGCCTCAGCTTCCCCCGGGAGAACGGGGGCGTGGAGACCTTGGCTTTGGTGCTTCCGAGGAAAAAACCCTCGGGAGAGGGGAGGACTGGGGAGTTGATGAATGCTCGTGAGGTCAGCCTGTGGTTTTGGGCCCTCAGTGTGGGTTATCCCTGGTTTTTTGGGGAGGAAACCTTTCCACCAACTGCTCCTCCCTCGCCCTGGTCTCCTCTCATTCCCAAAGTGAACCCTCCCGGGGATCCCACTCCTGCATCCCGAGAGCATCCCCTGCTCCCGATGCTGCCACACATTCCCTGTGGAAAACAGGACCCAGCACCTTTCAGGGAATTCATCCCACAGCCCCTATTTTCTTTAAATTTGCCCCTTTCTGCATTAAAAAACTCTTTGATATTAATATTAATATTATTTATTATAATAAAGAACAGTCAAGCAGCGTGAAAAAAATATATCTTAGCTACATTACCTTAAATTGCCAAAAATATACACATTTTTCTCTTTTATTTAATTAAAAAAACCCCAAAACAAATCCAAAAAAAAAAGACACATGCAACATACTAAATGAGACATCAGCATCAAAACGGGTAAAGAAACGTACCCCAGTGCAACTGAAACACAGATAATCTTTAGCTTTTCTTTTTCCTTTCTCCTTCTCTCCCTCTTTTTTTTTTTTATTTTTTCCATAGGGATACAACTGGCGACCTTCCAGCAGTGCCCCCCTTCTCCCCTCCCCTCTCCCCTCAATCTGCCAAAGGGACTTTTGGCCCTGGGACAGGTTGAGGTGACAATTCCCAGGGATTGGGAGCCTTTGGAAGGTGTTGGAGAGATGTGTGTAAGTGCTTTATG